ACAAGCTTCATTAACTAAAAAAGTCATGTTGTTTGACAAGAAGCCTCTGTGTGCTTACTTTTTAGACAAAAAAAAAAAAAAACAAACAAACAAACAAACCAACACCGACCGTTTTGCAAAGTTTGTAACGTGCAAATATGCCACCTATTTAGATTCCTAAGCGCCTTACATACTTATTTTGTATTATTTATTACCTTAGATTCCTGTTATTTCTGACCCTACCTGTATTTCAGTTCTCACTGCAAAAGGTACCAATAAACCAATTTATTTATTTATATTTATTTAGACTTGGATGAATGTACCACTGGTTCCCACTCCTGTGACGTCAATTCCGTTTGCCAGAATACCGTGGGTTCCTACAAATGCTCGTGTAATGCTGGGTACACCGGAGATGGAAAACCTTGCAAAGGTATTTGAGCAGGTAGATTTAATATTAGTTATTCTAACGCTTTACGTAACTTACAATTCTCATGCAGATATCGACGAGTGTTCTACCAACTCTCACAGCTGTGACGTTAATGCGGTTTGCAGCAATACTGTTGGATCGTACGCATGCGTATGTAAAGCAGGATTCACAGGCGATGGAAAAACATGCTCTGGTAAGCTGTTGCGGTGTTGCAAAAAACGCTTCCAAAACGATGTGCGTGTCTGTTTCTTCTATACTCGATCTTTACATTTATACATGTAGAAAACGATGGTCATATAACTTTTAATCAATGGTTCGAAATAATAATTACAGTCAAACCAGGTCAAGCGTACCCCCCAAGAATCCATTAATGAATTTATTATTCAAAAGTTGAATCCGTTGCTAGTTGTAGATTTCAGATTGATCTCTGCATTCTTGTATGTGTAATGAGCCGTGAATTCACACGCGAGGCAGTTATGAAATTTCTGCCAGCTCCATTTTCCCGAAATTGATGTAAATGTCTTCTAAGAAGCTTAATCCATTCAAAGATTTCCAATCTGACCAAGTACAGAGAAGTTCTCGCAAAATATTCACTGCTCATTACGCATGCAGAAATGCCGCTTTGAATTTGACACCAGTTACGGGAACGACTAACGGATTCATTTTTTAAATAATCAATTCGCTGATAGAATCTTGGGGGGTACGCTTGACTTGGTTTGACTGTAAAGTAAGACTAGAAATACATATCTCGCCAAATTTCACTAAACTCGGTCTTGTACACTTGTCAAGGCCAGCCGGTTAGAAACTGATTGGGTGACCAGGCTCTATAATTAATCTATCGTAAGACCTGGGACCCCTTTCTCTCCTGTCTTCTTTTCTGTTTCATTATTCTATTTGATTTTTAAATGCGTAATTTAAAGCATATTTAGCATTATTTGGGCTTAACATCAAATCAAAGGTACATATTGGGGACATTTAAGGTTTTTTTTCCGTAAAACCCAAACTGAAACGCACGTCCGACAAACATATCTTAACGAAATTGATCTTTAGTATGCCAACTGAGCAAACAGGGTACTTTGCTGTTATAATTAATAAAAATTCGCATTGAATCGTTATGCATTTCAGAAAGGAAATTTTCTCCCTCGAATACTCCCTCTTACTATAGCTCGTTCTGCTATAGAGCTAAGAGAAAGTCTCACCTATAAGCTATCTTAAGAAGTTCTCGCCTTTTGAGATTCTTTTCTTTCGAATTGTGTTTATTTAATACGTGTAGTTCAATGTTTCCCTCTCCGTTTATATGTAAAAAAGGCATGAAAAATCGGATTACCTGTAGTAGTTAAGCAGGGTTAACGCAAAGAGAAAATATAAGTAAATGACCTTTAGTTATTAATCCAGAGCTTGTTGCATCACTAAATAAGAACGCTTCCTCACTTTTTTCGCCAGATATCGACGAGTGCTCTACCAACTCTCACAGCTGTGACGTTAATGCGGTGTGTAATAATACTGTTGGATCTTACGCATGCGCATGTACAGCAGGATTCACAGGGGATGGATTCACATGCACTGGTGAGCCGTTTGAGTTTAATTCCGTTTGTATGATATGTTCGTTTTTAGATTGAACAGCAACGACAGCAATACGAGAGTCTTTTGTGCTCTCCTCGCTTTTTACAGTTAAAGTTTTGGTTTAGCAGGAGTTTAAATTAATTTTAGTATTGACTGTATGTAGTAAGCAAATAGAAAAGCGGAGCCAAGCAGCCAGTTAATATCATCGGATACGAGGAACGATGGTGATTGTTCAAACCTGCGATCATTTTTTTTAGGCCTAATAATAAACACAAAAAAAACTACTGAATTCTGATTGGCTGCAGAGAAAGGAGTGCAGTTCTTCTGTTACACGAGTGCAAATTTGTAACACGAGTGCAGATTACAAACGGTTTCTGATTGGTTGAAAACAAAAAAGGAAGCCACCAAGAACCAATCAGATTAGAGCTGTTTTAACAACAAAATTTAAGAAAATGGCCATGGTTTTCAGCAAACAATGATTTGATTTCATGTACGCAAAACAACAATAGAAAAGTTAACAAAAATTCAAAAAACTCAAACACAGTAAAAAGAACGTCTTTCTGGCTAAATGTATGGAAAATGCGATGCTAAGAGAAAAATACTGTCAACAAAATCGAGGAAAATGAGCCAGAGAAACTAAACAAGCTACTAATAACAGACTACACTAAAGTAGAAAATAAAGAACAAAAACGGAGGCAACCACACGCAAGCCATGACAGCTCCACTTTTCAGGCATTTTAATGAACACGGATACAAGTTTTCCATGATAACAACAAGGACTTCGAAAGAAAACAAATTTCCTCCTTCATTTTCGGGTTTTAAATCTCAAAAATTTCTCCATGAATCCAGCTATGATGGGGTCTCAGGAAAAGACTATCGGCCTATGATGAACAGTCGTTATATAAACAACTGAGCAAGTGTCTTTCATCTTTGGCTACTCGAAGTGTTCTCCTGATTTCAAAACGGCAGTATACTTCTTGTAAACGCCGAGCTCTCATAATCGAGGATGAATTTAAAAACACTTACTTTTGCTGATTATTCCTTGAACTGAATGAATCACAGAATGAAAAGAATATGATGTGAACTGCTTAAATTGCAATAGCCATTGCCACGATCATGTCGTTGTTAATTTGCAATTGATTAAATTGCAATTGCCATGCACTGCGACGATCATATCTTCATTTATGTTTGTATTGCCGCAGTTCACATCATCTTTATTCTACGACAGATCAAGTATCTGTAATTAGTATTTATGTAATGAGATTTACCATAAGGTAATATGACCAGTAAATATTATCTGTTAAAAATTACTGGCAATTTGACTGGTGGGACAATTTTTCTCTCCCCCCCCCTCCTGAGTTCATGGTATAATGTGATTGCCAGATTTAAAAGGTATTCGAAGAGAAAAATCACGACTACAGCATTATAAAAGACGTCACGAATGGCCTTTTGGTCAGAACAAAACGGACATGAGCTAGGCAAAGTCAAAAAGCGGTGTCACTTTTCTCGGGCGCTGTAATTCAAGGAGGCCAATTCAGAATTTCAATCAGAGCAGTTTGAATCAATCCATAAGTTAGCAGTCCAAGAATCTTCTCCAAAGAGGTACAAACCATTTAAAGTATTAGATTCTGACTCTGATTAGTTGAATTACAAATCCATAAACATACGGCTTAAGCTCTTTTCTTGAAACTTTGTACATGTTTGTACTTGGTACGTCTTTACGGTTCTGAACGTGTTTGAACATTCTTACTGAACGTTCAAACTTGTAGTATTATGAGAGATATAGATATAGCTAATGCGCATGTAAAGCAGGATACACAGGAGATGGGAGGACTTGCAATGGTACGTTTGCTTATTTTAAAAAGGAGTCAATGTACAGCCATTAGTGAGCCCTGGGTCGAGCTGCATAAAACATACACTTTAGTAGCACTGTTTCAAAGATCTTAATGTCGATTGACTGATATTCTTGTATCTTAACATTGAAACTTAGATTTATTGAGAGAGCAATGTAAGGAACTCATTTTACTGTTAGAAATGAGTTCTATGTAAAAAGTCAAGTTCAAAAGCCTGTAATACTGTGTCGTCTTGTGAAACATGTCTGAAGTTTATCTGCTTTTAAACCCA